ATATGGCTATGAATTATTATTCAGCAACATAATGGATCATGTGCATGAGATTATACATGAAGAAATAGGCCAAAGTAACTTCTCACCAGCAAAGCCAAACAGTTACTCTCACAATTAAATATTTAGAATTAGATAATTAACAAAAAATAGTTTGCATGAGAACTTATATTAAGAACAATTTTTTTAAAAGAGGCCTAATTTATTTATTTATTATTTTTTTTTAAGTTTAATATATTTTATTGATTTTCCACAGAGAGGAAGAGAGAGGGATAGAGAGTTAGAAACGTCGATGAGAGAGAATCATCAACCAGCTGCCTCTTGCACACCCCCTACTGGGGATGTGCCCACAACCAAGGTACATGCCCTTGACTGGAATCGAACCCGGGACCTTTCAGTCCGCAGGCCAACACTCTATCCACTGAGCCACACCGGTGGAGAACAATTTTTATGTGTTTCTGGTGGATGTTTGTTCAATGACATTTCTCTTATAAAGAAATATACTTTCATTAATATAAAATATTCAGAAATATATCATTTGCAATATATCAATATATATCAATCTCATAATGATTTAAGGACAAGGAACTGATCTTGTCTCTATTTAAATTCTCTACACGACTCACTACAGCTCTTGCAAAACAATAGCCATAATAGTGTGTATTTTTTAATTGAAGAAAATATGTCTATGCTTTCTTAACATAGTTTTTAGTTTTATTTATTTATTTATTGTTCTTAGAAACATGAAATCCCAGGCAGGTTATATTTAACTTGGTACAGTTTCTATTGCTCTCATTTTATGGACACTACATCTTTTTTGGGTCCTTCACTATATACATTGTTGTTTTCAGCAGTTTCTAGAGCCCACTTAGTGTTGTTTAAAACCTGGTGATCAGAGTTGGAAGAATAGGAATCCTGAAGTTTTATAGTTTCTCCAACTGTCACTGTACTTCTAAACTTGAAAACTTTATCCCATATCTCAATTATTTTATTTATTTATTTATTTATTTATTTATTTATTTATTTATGTCTAAAGTTTTACATGTCTCCCTTTTTTCTAACTGATTCCCTCCCTCCCCCAGCCATTCCCACCCCAGGGAAGCCCCCACTGCCCCAGTGTCTGTGTCTATTGGTTATGCTAATATGCATGCATACAAGTCCTTTGGTTGCTCTCTAACCACCCCCTTCCCTGCCATTTGTCTCTGGATCTATTCTTGTTCATCAAATTATGTTGATCATTATATACCACATATGAGTGAGATCATGTGATATTTATCTTTCTCCAAATGGCTTATTGTGCTTAGCATAATGCTCTCCAGTTCCATCCATGGTGTTGTAAATGATAAAAGCTCCTTCTTTTTTATAGCAGCATAGTATTCCATTGTATAGATGTACCACCATTTTTTAATCCACTTCTCTGCTAATGGGCACTTAAGTTGTTTCCAAATCTTAGCTATGATAAATTGGGCTGCTATGTACATAGGGTTGCATATATCCTTTCTGATTGGTGTTTCTGGTTTCTTTAGATATAGTCCTAGAAGTGGGATCACTGGGTCAAATGGGAGTTTCATTTTTAAGTTTTTGAGAAAGCTCCATACTGTTCTCCACAGTGGCTGCAGCAGTCTGCTTTCCCACCAGCAGGGCAAGAGGGTTCCTTTTTCTATGCATCCTCGCCAACACTTGTTGTTAATTTGTTGATGATAACTATTCTGACAGGTGTGAGATGGTAACTCATTGTCGTTTTGATTTGCATCTCTCAGATGGTTAGTGACTTTGAGCATGTTTTTATAAGTCTCTTGGCCTTCTATATGTCCTCTTTTGACAAGTGTCTATTTAGGTCCTTTGCCCATTTTTTTTTTTTTTATTGGATTGCTTATCTTCCTTAGTCTTTAATAAATGATTTTGGAAAATTTGGTCAGACACATGCAAAAGAAAAAAGAAAAAAAGAAAAAAGAAACTAGATCATAGATCACCAACTTACACCATACACAAAAACAAACTTAAAATGTCTAAAGGGCTTACATGTAAGACAGGAAACCATAAAAATGCTATAAGACTCCAGAGACAGCAAAATAACAGACATATGTCATAGCAACATCTTTATAGACACAGTTCCTAGGGCAATGGAGACTAAGGAGAAAATAAACAAATGGGACTACATCAAAATAAAAAGCTTCTACGCAGCAAAAGAAACCATCAACAAAACAACAAGAGCCCACTGCATGGGAGAACACATTTGCCAATAATATCTCAGATAAGAGTTTAATCTCCAAAATTTACAGAATACTCATATAAATTAACGAAAGGAAGGTTAATGATCCAATAATAAAATGAATAAAAGGCCTAAATTATTTTTATTTTGCCCTCCTCCCTAAGTTATAAAATTACTGATAAAACATAAACAGTTAGGAAATTGATTCCCGGACATTTTTCTCTGAGCCTATGTTTGTGCATAGATGCTAGACATATTGGTGAGTGAATGCTATCATTTAAATACATTCTAAATCAATACTATCCAAATACATTCCCTATGCTTGGAAAACTGACAGCTGAGCAATGATTTTGTTCTGATGAACAATTTTATGTTGCTTATGCTTAAATATATTTAGAACATATAAATATCCTTTAGAACATATAAAGATGCACCAACTGACACATTTTAATGTATGTACCACTATACCTGCATATCAATTGATCATTTATATTAAATGAGACATTTTTAAAAATATTGATTCCCTTGTGTCATGCCTTATAATTTTTGTATCCAAATATGTGTGTGCATGTCACCCAGTGACAACCACTTTAACTAGTTACACATTTTATTATATACATATATACATAAACATATACATATGTATATATATATATATATATATATATATATATATATATATATATATTATTGACTTCAGAGAAGAAGGGAGAGAGATGGAGGAATTAACAATGATGAGAGAGAATAATTGATCCGCAGCCTCCTCCACATCCCTAGCAAGGATCAAGCCCACGACCCAGGTATTGTCCTAACCAGAATCAAACCATGATCTCCTGGTTCATAGGGTGATGCTCATCCACTGAGTCATACAGACTGGGCTCTAGTTACATTTTATGAGTAACAATTATGACTAAGTTTCAGATCTAAGGTGCTACTCTTAAGATTAAATGCTTATTATCATTTTCTTTTTTCATTGTGTACCTGTTTTGAGAATAGCAACAAATCCATCAAGCTAAGCTTATACCTTTGTTGCAGGCACATCCCCAGTAGGGGGTGTGCAAGAGGCAGCTGGTCGATGTTTCTCTCTCATCGATGTTTCTAGCTCTCTATCCCTCTTCTTTCCTCTCTGTAAAAATCAATAAAATATATTAAAAAAAATTAACAGTATGGAATATTTATAAACAAAGACTAATATTAACATAGTGATTGTATTTTCTGGTAAAATCAATAGGAAAATTAGGCAATATGCTTTACTAATATGTTCTAATAGATTTGGGGAAAAACAGTGCTTTTGTTTGTTTTAAATTTTAAACAAAGTTATGGTTGCTTGTTTGTTTTCTTTATGGTAATAAAATCAATTGGGGTCTTATTCAGAACATAGCTTAGTTCTCAGCTTCTTAGCCCATAAGATTTAATATTAAAAAAGTATATTTGTTGATAATAAAAACATGCTTTATTTTTAGACACTAATCTCTATCTTTTAGACCATTTTTTAATTCGAAGTTATCTTCTGTTGTCATATTGATTTTAAAGTAATTCATCATTTATCTACATAGAAAATGTCTATATCTGCACTGAGATTTCACTTGACACTAGTTGTTTATTATGTGCCAACTTGATATATATGAACTTGAATTATGGTCATAAACCCTTTTAAAAATATTATTATGAGTGATGTGATTCCATAATGTCTTCATTACATACTGCATAACACTTGGTTTTAATTTGTTGTCATCATAATATCCTTTAGAACATATAAAGATGCACCAACTGACACATTTTAATGTATGTACCACTATACCTGCATATCAATTGATCATTTATATTAAATGAGACATTGAAAACCAGGGTACTGGGTGAAAAAAGTAAAGTAAGACAGAAGTAAACGTCTGTCTAAAGAGCTGCCATATTTTGTGTCTCCCTTGTCTCTCCTTGAGGGCTGTTGGTGGGCTTGTTCTCTTTCGGGGACCCAGTTCCATGTTCTACACAGAAGGATGGCTGCAGACATCTAGAAACCGGCTAAGCACCTCACATTACATTAAAAATGCTTCTGCCAGCCAGGATCTAAGCATTTAATGAGAGTACAAGCAGGCACTTACACAGAGGCAGAGTGTCAGTGGAGAATTCGTGGTAGGTCTCAGGGATAATGAGGAACTCAGGGATTTATAGAAGTGGCTACAAATCCCCGCTTGCTCCAGCTGCAATGCATGATGTCGCCATTTCCTTGAGACAGTTCTTTCCCATTATTAATGATAAAATAGAGACCGTGTTTTGATCATGACTTTTAAAAGATTCTGATGATGAAATGTGAAAGCTCTTTTGATCTACAGCTTAAATAGTTCAAAATCAACTTTCAGATCTCTGCGCACTTTTATGTACCTTGTTGTACCAAGAGCTTTGAGAAGCAGTTAACTTCTGGTTTAGTAGACCTAAAACAACCTGAGAAAAGTTGATTGATACAAAAATAACCTCTTGACCATAGGTATTCTTACTAACAAAACAATAAAAGAAACTGGATATTTTTATTGTTACTTTGCATCCCCAAATGCTTATTATTCTTTGTGATTATTCTTACTTTAAATAATTTAAGTGTTTAAGTTAAACAGAACTGATTTTTTTTTAAATATTGCAGAGAACAATTATGTTATTAGAATATTATGTATAAGTGTGTCACAATTTTGGGTTAAAAGTGACACACATTGAGATGAGCACCACATTCTTCAGAGTATTTAGCATTACCTACACTGTGATGAAAGGAATGGAATAAGTTTCTCTCTTCCACTGTTCTCAGTGGTTGCTGGCTTCTGCTTCTGCAGTCCTGGCTGCGAGGGCCTGAGGTGTGAGCAGGACATTGATGACTGCATCCCGAAGTCCTATGAGCACAACTCCACCTGTCAAGATCTGCATCTTGTTAGTATCCATGAATATTATTAATATATTTTATTATGTGGTCGCATAAATTAACGCTACATATATAGTTACCTTTCGCCTCTGTGGCATGTTGGTATGTATGAGTACTTATTAAGATTAGAAATCAGAAGCTGGAGCAATGCTTATTTCACTTAATGGTAGTAAAAAAAAAATTTTTTTCTAGTCACCACAATATGCAGGTTGATGTAAATATTACAAAACAAACTGCTCACTCTGCTCTCACAAGACTTGGTGATATTAAATTTGTGTAAGATTTCAGAAATTATTATGAAAAGTGCTGTTGGTCTCATTGGCACCTACTTTTACCCAACACAAGGCATTGTATACACATACGTAATATGCAAGCTTGAGTTATATTTTGATTTCCACCTGGCGTTGTAGACTTCCATCATTTTCTTCCTTCTCCTGTGTCAGTGCTGCCCCTTCAGTACATATCCATTTGTCACCGCCTTTGTCAGAAGCATGTGCCATTCGGCCTTAAACGAACTGACACAGTTGGCAAATCAATGGGATCCCCTCCGGCTGGTCATTTTTCAGAAAGGCTGACATGAAAAACATCTACTCAAGGTGGATTCACGGACTGGCTTCAGAGAATAAATGACAGACAATATATGTTAATGCTGCAATAGTAGTATAGGCTTACTGTTCATTCCTTAGCAACAGAGATGATTTTCACAAAAGGACTACACTAGCAGAGCTTAAAGGAAAAAAAAAATGCTTTGAAGAACAGACTAGTTTTCAAGGACATAATTTGACCACGAGTGTACCTGTACCGACATTGTTTGTTCTTACAATGAGAGGATCATTTGTGGCAAATTGTGTCTTTCCCACAAGGAAGGCAGACAGCTAGATGAAGAATTATAAGTAGTGTTTGGATGGCTGTGTCCAGAAACAGGATGGTCCATTGGCTATCCAATCACCCTTGAGGTTTGTGTAGTGGCCCTGATGATATGTCTTAATTCATGCCAGATGCTTTGTGTGAGGCGGCCATGCTAATCTCATTCACTTGCAAGGATTCCTGTAGGAATTGGTATGGGATCTGATGCTAATTTCGGTGTTAAGAGTGAAGTTCTTTTGGGGGAAAGCAAATAGGATGTAAGTTAAAGGAAGACCTTCTAACATCTGGAACTATACCTGTAATTGATGCTATCATTGTCAGACCCCAAGAACGGGAGTGAGGGGCTGCTTAATAGTGGGTGATTCTGATGCTAGCAGAGCTGAGAAGTAGAAGAGACCTGGCTCTTGATCAATTGTTGAAGTGATTGAAGCTCCTCTCCCACCCCAGGTGCCTGCCCAACCTCCGGATCTAATTATGAGATCACTTATGTCCTATTTTTAAATATGGCTTAAATTAGAGTCCCTTTCACTTGCAGGTAAATCATCTAATTTCCATAATGTGATTAAACAGTATTTTAGTCCATGATTTCAGCTGTAACTTCAGCAATAATAGGAGTTTATTATAGTAGAAAGAGCTCTAGACCCATAATCATAATATTCAAGTTCTAGTCCTGACTTTGCCATGACTTCTCTGTGTGACATTATGCCAATCATTTGAAAAGTCAGGGACTGCAACTTTAGAAACTGTATTGTATCAAATATAGCATTTCCACCTGGCATTGTATAGCATTCTCTCATTTATACATTTTATAAATTTCCAGTAGGAAGTTATTCAGACTAGCCTTGGACTAGTATTAGTTTACAATCTTGCTTCATTGTATAACTAGAGGCCCAGTTCATGAAATCCATGCACTGATAGGATTTCTAGCAGCTGCCGGCTGCTGGCCAGGTACTCCCTCCTTTCCCCCGGCTGGCCCCACCTCCTGATCAAACTCCTGGATGAACTCCTGGTCGAGGGGACAATTTGCATACTATGCTTTTATTATATAAGATAAGAATAAAAAAAAATAAGAATTAAAAAATGATAGAACTCATAGAAACAGAATAGATTGGCAGTTACCAACAGCTGAGGTTTGGGGGGAATAGAGAGATGCTGGTCAAAAGGTACAGGTCTTCAGTTACAAGATGAATAAGTTCTGGGAATCTAATGTACAGTATAGTAAGTATATTTAATTATAGTCTATTGTATACTTGAAATTTGCTAAGAGAGTAGATGTTCAGTATTCTCATGGCACACACAAAAAGGTAATTATGTGAGATGATGGGTATATTAATTAATCTTATTAATTAACACTTATTCAATTAAATCATTTAATAATGTATATACTAATAGAAATCATCACTCTGAACACTTTGTCAATTATACCTTTCTAAACTGGGGGAGAAAGAATAAAGAAACAAAGCAAAAAGCAACAGGGTTAAAAATGAAATAAAATCCTCTAAATAGTGTTTACCAACTAGATTGTCATATTTTGATTCAATTGATTATTGAAATTACCTAATTCTGGCCATAATTCATATATCAATTAGAAGAAAAAATATAATTATTGATTTGTTAATATTCTTCCAAGAGGAGATGTGATAGGAACAATAGATTGTTTAAAATGTTTTAAATGTTCAAAGGACTTGATCGCTTTTAGATACTGTACCTGAGACTCCAACATTATCTTGAGATCTGATGATTGTCTATGCATCAGAATACTCACATTAGGGTTTATTCCCTTGAAAAGTTATGGATTAAAAGTAGCAAAAGCAATGACATACATGGTGAAGCCATGGAGAAAGCAGGCACAGGCTCCAGGTGCCTTCTCCTGGGGAGATGTGTGTGCTGTGCTTTATTCCCTTAGACACGATGGGTGGGAAGCCCACTGAAGTGTTGTCGATGAGGAAACTCACTCAAGCCTTGCTGCCTAGGCTGTTTATCTGGGTCATTCACCAGGCACAGATTCTAGCTAATCCAGCTTCGGCTCCTGCAGTCTTCCAAGCCCAGGTTTAAAAACAAGCTTCCCTTGTAAATCACATCATTAACATAAACTATTTGGCACAGCCCAGCATGTCAGGGACCAAGAGCACTGTTATCAGTGGGACATTCCAAGGCTCAGAGGTTGTCTTCCAAAAAGCCAGTAAGAGCCTGCCTTTCCTGTGGAATACTTAGGGTTTGAGCACTCAAGCCATTCTAAATTAACCGTTGCCTAGCCAAAACTGGTTTGGCTCAGTGGTAGAGCATCGGTCTGTGGACTGAAGGGTCCCAGGTTCGATCCCGGTCAGGGGCATGTACATAGGTTGTGGGCACATCCCCCAGGGGGTGTGCAAGAGGCAGCTGGTCGATGTTTCTCAATCATTGACGTTTCTAGCTCTCTATCTCCCTTCCTCTCTGTAAAAAATCAATAAAATATATTAAAAGAAATAATAATAAATAAATTAACTTGCCTCGATATCCTGATAAATATTGCATTTTTATAAAAATTCTAGTAAATGGTACATAATTAGACAAATGATACCGTCCATAATAATAAATTGAAACACAAAATCATTTTGATGATACTAAGTCAGGCAGGAAGAAATAAAAACTGATAATTTTGAAATAAAGCAAGGCCCTAGTTTGAGTTTCATATTTGTTTTCATCAACTCATTAGTAGAATAGCAAACATGAAATGCAGAAGGCTTTCAAGGGGAAGAGAAAAGAAAAGCATGAGGTGGGATGTTTCTGAAAGAAAATACTTAGTAATTGTGATAAACAGAAAAATTATTTTGCTCAATCTATAAGGCACCCTCATTTGGCTACAGGAGTCAGCAGGCTGCTTTTTGTATGGATCATAATCTCAAAACCAATCCAGGTAATACCACAGACCTGAGGCTTGATTCTTTAAACTTGGTACAGTGTAGCTTTAAATGAACATTTTCACTTTTGCAGAATTTTCTTACCAGTATATGTGGCATCATGAATGCAAGTTTAAATAAAACATCAGAAGACTTTGAAACCAGGATAAGTATTTTGTAGCAGTGAGCAGTTTTCTTCTTTTCCTTTTTTCATGGTTCACTAAGCCTAAGAAAACAATGGGATAAAACCAGAAAAATGTTAATGCTTAGCATATAATGAGATACAATGTTAAGAATGGATAGAATAAAATCTACTCCTTCCATGTAATTACTTGGGCATATTTGAGAATAACTGTTTCTTTGTGATTATTTAAATATGTATGATCAAATTATTCTAGTATTTTCTCTCCCATTTACTTTCATTTCCCTCTGTATCTTACATGAATAATGAATGCTTAATTTTGATAACAGCAGGGGGAACTAAAAGAGTGCCCTAGAACTAACATGTGGAAAGAACAGTTTTTATTCACATACAACTGTTAAAATGTATACATGGTATATGTATTAGTATACTGGAGATATAAACTTACTTCTAACACTCAGGAGCAATAACTGAACTGAATTGGTAGGTTTTATAGTAAAAAATAAAACTGCCTTTACCTTCACCACCAGATGGCTGAAAAATCCATGTCAGTCATTTGATATTTCCCATTGCTTTGGGGTTGTAGCGTAAAAGCTGGGGGTGGCTGGAACCCGGATTATGAGGGAACAGCCCTTGCTCCACAGTTTGGCTTGGCTGCTACGGAAATGTTTGTTGTGTCATTCCGATGCTCCTTTCAGAGACAGGCTAACTTGCCAAAGGATTCCAGCCCTTTTCATACTGAATCTGGCTCCCAGGATCTTCTCTACATCCCTCAGGTTCCTGGTGCTTAGCTAATTAGTGGCCAGGTCCCAATTGCCCCTTCTGCATGCCTAATTAGAAACCTGAGGTTTCTCTCTCTCTCTTTCTTTTTCTCTTTCTCTCTCTCTCTCTCTCACTGGCCCCTCATTAGTGAGGATTCAGTCCAACTGTTCTGTGTCTCAATACAAAAGTCTTCATTTATTCCAGCTCTCTCCGGATTTACGAAGATTTGCTTAATCTTATTTGTTGGAAATTGACACAGACTGACTCAGTGTCAGAATTTGGGAGCTTTGGAATTCTCAAAACACCCAGAATCATCTAAATACTCTTTAGTAGAAAAATAAAATTTCATTTTGGTAGC